GCACTTTTTTTTTTTTTTTTTAATATTTTTTAAAATTGATTTTGAGAGAGCGAAACAGCCCTATGAGAGACGAACATTGATTAGCTGCCTCCTGCACTACCCCTACCAGGGGCCAAACCAGTAACCTAAGCCTGTGCCCTGACTGGGAATGGAACCAGCAACCTTTTGGTACATGGGACCTGCCCAACCAGAGCAGCACACTTGCTTTTTAGCTTTAAAGTGCTCTGTGTATTGAAAGTCAGATAAGTTAGAATTGCCAGAGCTGGTGAAGTCTGTCATGCCACTGGGGAGCCAGCTTGCGCTGTCGAGTTTTGGGTCTTCAGATGCCCTAGAGTTTTCTTTATTGTGAGCTCTTCAGTGGCCCAGCCTCTCCATCGGGGTAGAAGAGAATGTATGTGTGAGGACTGTTAAGATAAATACTGTATAGACTGGATACTAAATAAAAGACAAAGTTTGGGGGAGTTAGGTTACAATTCAGTACCATACCTAATGAAAAGTAGTCATTAGTTCATGGTAGTTTCCCCTGGAGTGCTCAGGATGAATCAGGTTTCCCGTGCCTGGTGACTGCTGTTCTGCACCACCCACACCAGCCTCTTCCCAGCACTTTCCCAGCTGTGTTCATTAAGTACATTCCCTCTTTGTTTACACTGCCTGACACTGGATGCCCAGGAAGTGTTGGTTAATAAAAAAATATATATATATATGCCATGAGTAACACTGATACTGTGCTGACTTCAAGCTACAGAGCTGGTGCTTTAAGGTGGTAGTACACACTTCTTTGGGAGATTCATTTTTAGAGAGGATATTATGGAAAAGAAAAGTCTCCCTTTCAGGACGTTTAAGAAAGAAAAACAGTCTTCTTAATTGGATGATTACTTGTAATTGGAAACTTTTGCTTGGGATCCTTTGGAAGTTTTGCATTTGACTGCCTTCTTAAAGGACTTGATTAGCTAGACGGGAGTCTGTAGGGTTCATACTTTACCTGGCTGTTCAGGGAGGGAACCAAGTGGTGGCTATAGGATCACCCAGCCAGGTTTTCTTTTCTTAGACCTATACCTTTGTTTTCTTGGTGAGGGATTATTTTGTGTTCAAGGGATTTTGAACTATGAAAGCATTTTGCTTTAGCCATCATTAATCTACGGTCTTTTCTTTAAGCTGTAAGGTATATATTTATAAAGAATTTAACCCAAGTCTATTTCACTGCTGCTCTCCAACCCTAACCAATCCCCAAAAGCTTTTCAAGATCTTGGAGGGATTGGGTGTGGAGACCCCCAACCTGGTCTTGTTTTCTGTGATCATGCTATACATAGTTCCTGAGCTGTCTGTGTCCCTTCTTGTCACATGCCCCTTAGTTCCTCTTGTATTTTGAATATCTTTGTTGAAATATATTGAAGGGAAATTACACAATGAAGAAATAACTGGGAAGCAGCCGTACAATGTGGTTTCATCCCCAAAATGTCTGCGCTCACTGGTATTCCCACCCCTTCCCGAAAAACTAGTGTCATAGTGATAACTGATAGTGAGACTAGTGGAACCACATGCAGCCCTTGTTGTGGGTTCTGTTTTTATTGAAATGTCTGTTTAACACAGCCCCATTTATTTGAGACCCTGTTGGGGCAGCCTGTGCAATTTTTATGACTGCCGACTGTGGCTGTGGACCCCATTCCTTTGTGATGGAGATAGTTGCTGCCTCTTCTCAGGGAGCTTGGCCATTGTGCACTGGAATCTGCTGTAGCATTCTTGGCACCACTGGCTTTTTCTTTCCTTGATTTCAAAGTAAAATAAAATTCACAAAAGTACAGAGAATAATAGAATATGCACTATTTCCTCCCCTTCTCTCCC